GAGCGCGAGCGCGCGCGAGGCCAGCGGGAGGGGGGAGGTATGAGAGGGACTCTGGCGGGAGGAGGGACGGGGGAGCCACCCAGCAGCCGGAGTCGCCCCAAGCGCGAGACCCCTGAGGTGGCCTCTGATTGGCTGACGATGGCGCAGGTGGTGGGCGCGCGGGAGACAGGGCGGCTTCTCTCCTCCCCCCCCTTTCAGAGTCCACCCCCTCCTCCCTCCGCCAGCGGCCGTTATTTCGCGCGCACGCGCACAAAACCGCTGTCGTAGCTGAGCGGGAGAACAGGGGAGCGCGCGTCGGGGGTACGGATGGGGCGGGGCCAAGCTAAGCGCGCGCCCGCCTAACGGTCGCTGTGCTCGGTGTTTCGCGTTTGCTTTTTGCTTCCTTTCAGCCACCGTCCGCCCTTTCCTCCTCCCCATTCCAGTGGTTTATTTACAATCCTGCGCCGTTTCGCGTTTCCCTAAAGATGGCGCCCAAAAAGTGAGCCGGTCGAGTTTTTGCCCACCCCAGAGGCTGTTATACCCTCGGCCCCGCCCCCACCGTCCCAAAAATCAGGCGGAAGCACGAGAGTTATAAGTCTGTATTTACAACACGCGGTTATACAAAGATTTAAAAGAAAAAATATTTTTCTTAAGGCAGAGTATGACGGTGCCGGCAGTCAGGATGGGCCGCAGCGCTGGCCGGCAGCTAGACCCAGGATGTTCGCCTGCAACACAGGGAAAGGGTCAGCAGTGTTAGGGCGGGGGCAGGCCAGCCAGGAAGTGGGGGCACAGCTGTGCGCTCACCTTCAGGAACGACTCCATCTGTTTCCCGGATATGCCTTCCACGCGTTCCAGATCCTCCACCTAGCAGGACAGCACCGATGGGGAAGAGGCCTAATGCGTGTGAGGGTCCCCAACCCCCATTCTTGGGTTGTCTAGCCGTGAACTGTTACCTGGCTGAAAGGGCCGTGAAGCTCCCTCCAGCCCACGATGAGCTGGGCCTTCTTCTGGCCAATGCGCTGCAGGCTGCGCAGATCCCGGGCTGTGCCTTCGTTCAGCAGATCTAATATCTTTTTACGCCCGTGGGCCAGTAGTTCCGGGCTAATCTGCAACTCCCAGCAATCCTCAGTCTTCTCTTCTGACTCTGAGGCATCCAGGGATTCCAGCTTTGAGGCAAGGGGGAGGCGTGACAGAAAGAGCAATTTGCTGTTCAGCCTGCTTTGAACTTTTATAACAAGAATAGGGTTCTAAAGGCAGATCTATCCCTCCCAGGCCCGCTGCTTTTCTTTTTTTATTTAAGGAATTATGTGTACAAGAACGGGGTACAGGCCAGAGGTGTGTGTGTGTGTGAGAGAGAGAGAGCGAGAGAATTCACCAGAGTGGGGAGCAGAACAGGCAGAACTGAAATAAACTGCTGAGGGGTCAGGTGAGAGGTCAGCTGCGCCATATGGGTAACTCCCTGGCCAAGATCAGGGAGGGACTGGGAATCAGGTGCTGCAGTGGCTGTGGATCGGTTCAAGCTGCTGTGCTTTAACCTGCTGCACCACCAGGGAGGGTGACATTTTTTTTTTAACTATCAAATGATTTACTTGTTTCTCTGTTTACTTTTAACTGAGGTAATATTTGCATTCCTCCATCAGGTATTGCCACCGTAGAGCACTCAACACCATGTTGGGTCTTTCTGAAAATGCTTCCCTCTTCCCCTTTCTCTGGGTTTGTAAAAGGGTGGTAATAGAGATGCCGTTTAGCTCAAATAACTCAAGAAATATAAAGCACTAGTAAACACTAAAATCTGCTTCCTAATTTATATAATTAAAAAAAAGTTAAGTTTTCCTTCACCCCTAGGAAAGCACACAGGAGAAAATACTCAGTAAATGCCCCCTCCTCTCCTATGTCATGTCAGTTTTTAGGAAGTTCTTCCAGCCTTGTTTCATTCCTTGAGGTCCCGAAGTGGGCTGTTAAGGTTGTAAAGGGTAGGACCCAAGCTACACATTTATTGACTGAGGGTGAGAGCTATCAGGCAGAGGGAAGAACAAGTGATGACACTGAGCTGCTAGGTACCTTCATGTGCTACATTTCATCCTAAATGAGTGTGTGGCATCTCTGCATGTAGAGGGCAAGCAACTTGGAAGGGTTGTAAGCAACTCCTAACTGCCTAGACAGGAAACTCCACAGCCAGTGCTGCACAATCACTACCTCTGTCCCTATGCCGAGTATAGCCTAAGCCTCCAGCTACTCTCACCTTTCTCTTTCGGCCTCTCTTCTTCAGGATGTGGATCTCCGCATTTGGGGATGCTGCCTGCTCCTGAACTGAAGCAAGAATATGATCTAGAATCATTGCTGGCACAGGCCTCCCAACCTCCTGGTAGTCACTTGATTCTCCCACTTTTGATTGCCTACTTCCCCTCCACCCACAAAACCTACTTTGTGTTTCCTTTTTTATATCCATGCCCTTTTTTTAATATCTGTACTTGAAATCTCAGTTTGTCTTGTCAGTGTACCCAACTGTACAAAATGCCTGAGAGCAGAGCATGTAATTCTGCTCCAGAGCCCGGACCGTGTGCCCCTCTGCACATCCATATGGTAGACTATGACTGGTTTGAAGACAGCTGTTCTTAAGACCGCCTCCCTTCGAAGACCTCCATTATCTGGACCCTCGTGGCCCCTGGAACCAAACTCACTCAGTTGTAGGGGCATCACTACAGCCTTTTTGAGAGGTTTAGCCACTGTGACTGTGCGGCGGGCAAGGGGCTGGAGCTTTGTGGGGGAGCAATTCTCTTTTCCCTTTGGGTCCGCAGCCTCCTGGGCCAGCACCTTGGCTTCCAGTTCTTTTTGCTTCATCTTAAGCCTCTGTTGGGAAGGATCAAGAAAAGAAGTGACCCAGGCTACTTGAAGGACATATTCAAGGCTACTTGAAGGACTAAAACAAGTGTGCACAACAATGGGAGAAACTATCTGGAGAGAACTGTAACCCAAATAATTAAGATTTTTCTAGTGATCAGTTCCCCAGCCTTTGAGAAAAAATGAAGGAAGGACTGTTTGAGCACAGTCCTAGTCATTTTGAACTAGGATTTAGGAAATGGCAATGTCTAACATTTGAGGACATTCAAGCAGTAGTTAGAGAAATGAGGGATTCTAGCATTGGGTGGAAATTAGATGCCAGTTCAGTCTTGAGTGTCCTATCTGAAGGTGTGGGCACTGTTTCTCAAGGCTAGTAGGAATCCCAATGTTCCAGCTACCCATCACTCACCTGAATCTCCAAATCTTTCTCCTCCATTGTCTTCATGAGTACCATCCGTTCACGCTTGGGGGTGTTCAGCAGAGGGGTTCCCTGATTCCCATGGGAGCCTAACAGACGGTCCAAACTCATGAGGCGCTCCAGCATGACCGGGTCCATGCTGCTTAGCTTCTGTAGGGGACTGAGTAAAGAAATTACTTCCCACCCACCTCTTCTCTTAGCAGCAGGACTCCCCTTATCCTGTCTCACTTGGTGTATGCTGTAGTCCAGAACCCTAGTGCTGACAGGCCTTCCAAACTCTGGATGTAGTTTCTTCATCAGGTAAATGGAGATCAATCACTATCTGCCCACATAACCTCTCAGGGATGCCAGATCAGATAAGAATTAGCATTTGGGAGTACCCTGCCCTGAGGGCACTCTATGACAGAAAATAAGAAACCATGGTGAGAGGAAGGGCTGTGTGCCTGTTCATTTAGAGTAGCTGGGGAAAGCCTTGCAGAGAATAGTACCTTGGGTCAGGCTTGAAAAGCCACCAAAGGCCTTCAATGCCACGCCGTTGTCCAGTGGATAGAAGGAAAGGGTTAATCTAGCATAATGTCTAATGCATGCTTCTGGCTGGCACATTCTCCTTCACATCTGATCGCAATTATCTTTCAAAGCCAGCTTGATGACATCTTTCCCATAATGCTCAGCTTTATATATTTTTCCTACACCATGACCTTAAGGACAGGGTCTGTCTTGTTCTTTATGTTTAAGTACCTAGTGGGAATATGGGTGTACACCAGAAGTCCTTTTCTCCCAAGGTCTCATGAACGAGAAGCTCCTCATCCAATGACATTCCCATCTTACTGTCCCTACTAAGACATCAGTGCCCTGAGGTCAGAATCTGTCAAGGTCTGATGTGCCCCACCTCTGAGCTTACCCACGGTGCTCTCTCACAGTGACCTTACCTGTTTACATGCAATACCACCTGGATTTGCGCACATAGTGTAAACTATGTTTAATGGCAAAGTGTACACTAATCTTTGGCCTCCTCAAGTCACCTCTATTTAGTAGTCTTAGAATTGAAAACAGCTCGCCCGCCCCACTGGTGCAACAGGTTAAAGCACAGCACTGTGAGCGGGCCGCGGCCACTTTGGTGCAAGTTCGATCCCTCCCCCATGTTTCCAAGACAAGTAGTATTGCTTCTGGCCCCATGAGGTGACCCACATGGCATAGCAGACCTCTCCTGTCTCACTGCTCCCCTGAGCAGTGTGCTTCATCAGTCTGCCTGTTCTGCTCCCCACTCTGACTCTGGTGAACCCTCTCACTGCCCCTGCCCTTTGGCCTGTACCCCAGCTCTGTATGCATAAATAAATCTTAAAAAAAAAAAAAGAACTTAAATATATTTAGACTTTATTTGGGCTATAGGAAGAAATAGGGCAAAGTTTACTGCGACTGGCTCCTTCAGGTGGCTAGACTACTGAACAGAAGTAACCTGAGGATTAGTGGATCCTAGGTCATGAGGTTGTTGCTATCTGAACCTGGACACAGGCATAGAAAGGAATTAGCTTACAGAGGCTGTTTGGTTCAAGGGTAGAAGGAAGGCAAAATTGGGATAGGCGCCAGCTCCCTAGAGTCGTGGAGAAGCTGGATTAAGAGGTCTCAGCGAGACATCTCCCGTCCTCTCATCTTTGCTCATATGCTTTGGACCTCAAAGACCTGGTCCAGATTACTCCTGGAGCCAGAAGCAACAGTACTTGTCCTTGAAACAGCTATCCACAAAATATGAGGTTTTGCTGACTGTCCAACAGGGCTAGCAAGTGTCAGGGAGTAGCTCAAGGAGGAGGCCTCCTTAGGGTCCCAGGCAGCAGTATCAAAGGAAGAATTTCAGAGTAGGGTTCTAGGTGAGTCTAATGGGAGAAGAGCACGGTCACAGCTCTCTTCACTCATGATTTTGACAAGCTGAACCTACTGCCCCTCTATACTGAGCCCCGACACAATAGGAAAGGGAGTATGTCCAGAGACCTTAAGTTACTGTCTTGCCCTCTCCAGCCCCCCAAGTTTACCTGAGTTTCTGGGAAGCTGAGACTGTTGCTGCTGGGGGTTCAGGACTCCCAGTCTCCTCATCTTCAGGGCCTCGGGCTCTCTTTGCCTCCGATGGGCCTAGCAGTTCTTTCTGAGAGAGTTTAACAGGTGCCAAGACTAGGGCAAGATGGAATGGTCAGTATCTGTGCTGATGCTTGGTGGATTCAGCAAATTCCCCAGTCATCCAGACCCGGCCTTTCCAACCCTTGTCCTCACCATGAGGCTGTAGGCTCTCGTTTGTAAAGGGCCGATTGATCACCTCCTTTGATCTGGCAGCAAAGTTGAGTGCAGAGACTGTGTCTAGGTAGAAACGTCTCTCAGGGGCAATGTTGGCAATGAGGATGCTGTGAGCTGAGCCACCCAGAGAGTCCTGAGTAAGGGGAATGGGGTAGGGTGGGCAGGTCAGGTGCTTCACCTTCCCAGTCCTTGAACGTTGACCCCCAACTCCTCAACAAGCCCAAGCCTGATCCTCCTCCAGCCCCTTTCTGCCCTGAGCTGGGTAGCCTGACCTGTAGCAGGCGAGTGAGCTTGCTATCCCGGTAAGGCACACGAGGGAGGCCCTGGTTCAACGCGTCCACCACCTTGCCCAGCACAAAGAGGGATGTGTTGATGGCGCCACTCTCCTTCAGGCGCAGGCCCTTGTTGCCTGTGCGCCGGTTGTCCTCTGAGCCGGCCAAGTCAATCAGGTAGAGTTTCCCCTCCCGCTGGCGGAATGGGGCGAAACGTTCCCGCTGATCCACCTGGGTCGGAAAGAGCAAGGGCCCAGGCTCAGCCTGGCTCAGGGACTTCTTAGGCCCTCGCCAGTCGGTGGGCCTCACCTTAACCAGGAGCACAGCATGACTGCGAGAGGAGCGCTGGTTGAGCCGGGTGGCTCCGACAGTTCGATTTCGACTGGCTGGCAGGAAGTGCCGCTCAAAATCAGCAAAGCTAGTGATGGGTTTCTGCGTGAGGCCTGGGATCAGGATGTTTCCTCGGCAGTCTTCTCGTATTACCAGGTCTCCTGATGCGGGCTCCAAGAGATCTAACACCTGTTGAGAAGTGAGAGGTAGATACAACATGCATCTCCTGGGGTCAGACTTCTTTCCTCTGCTAGATCCCTAGAGTGCTACGATCCATTATCCCAACCTTGGTCTGTTCAGGTTTTACCTCCTTCCTACAGCAGTTTCATGTTGTAGAACTTGGTCTATATTGACCTTTTGTCTTTTTCCTCCTTCCTACAGTAGTTTCATGTTCTAAAACTTGGTCTATATCGACTTTTTGTCTTTTTCCTCCCAACCAAGAGGGGTCTCACCTTTTCTTGGTAGATCTCTAAGTAGGACATAGTGACAGAGAGGGCCCATGGCCGACCCTCAGCACCCTCCTCTCTCGTGAGCTGCAGGAGGTCCATGAGAGCCCGGGGAATCACACCTGGCTGCTCAGGGCTGCCCAGCATTGTGTGGGTCTTCCCTGGGAAAAGAGCAGACAGAGCTGTGAGATCTCCCTCTGTTCCCTTGCCCTTTCAGAGCTGTTCCCACCTCGCTCCCTCACCTGCCCCTGTGGGTCCATAGGCAAGCACACTGGCATTCTGGCCTTCCAGCAAGTGCCTCAATGTGGGCTGCACCGATCCCATGTAGATGTCCTGCTGTGAGCTCCGCTCCCCATAGAAAGCATCGAACCTGCAGCCAGGAGAAAGGAGGGAATAAGACAAGGAGGGGTCCATTCTCATCCAGACTTACAGGGTAATAATGGCTTTGGATTTAAAAATCTCTGTCCCTCTCCTTGCACAAAATACCTTAGAAAAGCACCTACTGGGCCTCCCTATTGGCGCAGTTAAAGCACAGCACTGAGAAGCTGAAGCCACTTCCGCATGAGTTCGATTCCCGCCTGCCCTAGAGGTAACCACATGCCGGCAGACCTCTCCTGACCCGCCCACTGCTTCCCTCAGCAGTGTACTTCGCCGATCAGCCTGTTCTACTCCCCACTCTGTCTCTGGTGAAGCCTCTCGCTGCCCCTGAGCCTCTGGCCTGTACCCCAGTTCTGTATGCACAAATAAATCTAAAAAAAAAAAGAAAAGAAAAGCACCTACTGAACACCTTTTGTGTTCCAGTCTCTGTAGGAATAAAGAGGAATCTAATATCCCTGCTTCTAGTTTGGTTTGATGGGCTATACAGACACCCACACTTTGCTATGACCCAGGACACAAAGATGAAAATGCGCTAGAAGGGGTAACTTATTCTGCTTGAGGGAGAATTTTGGGAAAGGAGAACAAGATACTTTAAATATCAAAAATAGCACATAGACAAGATATGGCGTGACAGGGCAGAGCTTCCCCATCTTTTTCACATCACAACATATGTAGCAAATGTACTCCATAAGGATATAAAGAGAGGATGTTGTTAATGACTAAAGATTCAACTTGCCTATTGTCAATTACTGAACTTTGGTGAAGAAACTGGCTGAGGCCACTACAGGGATTCATGTAAGTAGAGTGGCATATGTTGGGGGTGGGGTGGGGGATAATAAAAAAAATGAAGCCAAATTATCAAGGGCCTAGAATGGGGTTGGTAAACTTTCTATAAAGAGTCAGATAGGAAATATTTTATCTTTTTCCTTTCTTTCGTATTTTTACCAGCTGATGGTCATTTGGATTATTTCTAATTGATGCCTATTGCAGAGACTGATACTAGGGATACCTACATGTAAATCCACTGAGTTTCTAAAGCATTTTTCCCCTTTAATACAACCAATGGAATACAGTCCTATTCTTTTATCTTCATAAGCAGGGAAATGTTTTAGGAATTGTGAGTCCTATGGAACAATTCAACTCTGCTATACAGAAAGCAGTCAGACTGCTTGGTTGTGTTCTAATAAAGTTTTATTTATAAAAAGGTTTGGCCTGCAGGCCAGTTTGTCACCCCTTTGAGTAGTTACCCTTGCAAGATCTGCTCCCAAATCAAATACCCACTGCAGACTGGGCTGCTGGCTGCTCCGCGTTCCACCTCTCTTCCAGCCTCGCCAGCGTCCCCTGCCCTCATTCGCTCCTCCTTCCCCACTCTGAGCCTCTTTCTGCCCCAAGGTCGGGAATGACAATGTGTGTCTGATTCAGCCTCCAGTCTTCCCCACAAAGAGCCCCTGTGCACTCTCCCTGAATGCACAAATGAAGGGGTAGAAAACAAAGCTGTGCAGAGGCAGGAGCAAGGATACTGAGTGGGTGAGTCTGAGAAGTCACCTGGACCTGTGATAAGGGTGAGCAGGCCTAGGAGAGAAAGGGGGAGGAAGAACTGCCTGAACCTTACTGGTATTTGAGAGTCTCCTGGTGGTTCCTCCAATTGGCAATTTCTAGAGAACAGCCATCCAGGCCCCGCACACAGGGGGTATCACTTGCTCCATCAACAAATGGCCGCAGCCGCACAGCCACCCTAACTCGGGCTGGAGGTGGGCGCCGACCAGGTCCTATCTTGCTCAGTCTACAGCGACCAGCTCCTGAAGGAGAGAAGATAAGTATTAGCCATGAAACATGGTGGTAGCACAGCGGAAGCAGGAAGTGCAGCGCACTGCTGAGAGGTAGGGGCGGAGCTTTAGAGGTCTGGCCAGGACTCTGCCTGTTCTGTTAGTGAGAAAGGAGAACAGGATAAAATGAATCGAATACCTGGTCTCGGAGTTTGGAGGACAGAGACTATTTACAGAGAAGACTGTGAACCATTTTGTGTATTTCGCAAGTGTTTATACTCATGTTGCATTGATTATAAGCCAGGTCCACTTTAATCTTCATAGTATCCCTGAGAGGTAGGTTCAGTGAAGAAGCTCGGAGATGCCCTCCATGGTGGCGCAACGGGTTAAAGTGCAGCACTATGAAGCTATCCGCAGCCACTGCAGCATAAGTTTGATCCCCGGCCAGGGAGGTGACCCACATGGCACAGCAGACCTCTCTGGTCCCTCCTGCTGCTCCCTTCAGCAGTGTATAACAGTCCATCTGCCTGTTCTGCTGCCCATTCTGTCTCTGGTGAATCCTCTCACCACCTGCACCCAGTTCTTGCATGCATAAATAAATCTTTAAAAAAAAAAAAAAAGCTCAGCGATGTAGCAGCTTTTTTGAGCACCTGAATGTTTTATGCCTGGAGTTATATATCTATCATTGCCTACATTTCTCCTTTTTTGCTCTTCAAAGATTAAGCAGAGCCTAAAATCAGGACAAAATCCCAGCATCCTGGTAGATTAGAAAGCGCCATGACCTTGACACAGGTGCAGGGAAGCAGGGCTGGAGGCTGGGACCCTAAGGAAAGCACTGGGAGAAGCAGGGACCACAGGTCTTTTTAGGGGACATTCTTTCTACCCTGGCCATGTTGTGTGTGGCCTCAGTTCCTTCCTCTGCGAGTAGGTCCAGTGGGGTGTTGACTATAAAGTGACACAAATAAGTTGGATCTTGCTAAATGCAGATTTGACTCAGCTCCAGGATAATTCCTGAGATTCTGAAAGTCTAACAAACCCTAGGTGAGGATGATGATGAGGAGGAGGATTGATGATGATGATGCTGGTGGGACATTCTGATTTGCAAAATTATAGTGAACAGAACCTCATGGTCTGCAAGAACTGATATTTGCCTCTACTTAAAACTAGCGAATAACAGCCTGACTCTTCTGTACCTGCTTCTTACCTGGGGTTTATAATACACACCTATGCTTATATAGACATACATAAGGGATTGTGTGGGTTTATTTTCTACATTCCCCAGTTCTGTGATGCTGTGATGGCTGCATTAAAAACAACAGCATCGGTCCTCCCTGGTGGCGCAGCGGGTTAAAGCACAGCACTAAGAAGCTGAAGCCATTTCTGCATGAGTTCAATCCCCGCCTGCCCCAGAGGTGGCCACATGGCACTGCAGACCTCTCTTGACCCGCCCACTGCTCCCCTCAGCAGTATACTTTGTTGATCTACCTGTTCTGCTCCCCACACTGTCTCTGCTGAATCCTCTCACTCTCCGCATCTCTGGCCTGTACCCCAGTTCTGTACATACAAATAAATAAATCTTTAAAAAAAAACACAAAACAGCACCACGGACGCCTCTGCCTGGAAAAGCGAGACAAGGCACTCCCAACCCCTTTATGTCCCAGCTCAGTCTGCAAAAGCACTGGACATGCAACTCTTCTCTATTTGCAATCTTCCTATTTAATTTGCTTCTGATAACTAAAGTCTAAGTTATTTGGGGGGTGGGGGGAGATTACAAATAATCTATCATCAGGAAACACCATGAAGCTAAAACTTAAAAACTATTTTGCTAAGGACTGAATGAGCTGAAAAAAGGTCTTATGAGGAAGGTATTTCTCTTTTACATTGGAGCATACCATACTATAGCTTATCGCTAATAGAATTCAGACCTAAATCTTTTCATCTCAAAAATTTGCTTCAGTTAATAAGAATGATGTATTGCCTCCTTCCTAGATACCAACCAGAAAAGTTCTTGGCATTCTGATTCTCTCCTTTTTGTTGGTAGTAGAAGCTGTTTTGGGAGGACCCATACGCCTCACAGAAGGCCAGAGGCTGGTATGTGGGGCCAGTACAGAAACACCAGTAGAGAAAGGCGGGCTGACTACCTGCAAAGGCTCATGCACATAAATAAGGCACACCCATGGCAGATGACCTGTTTAAAAAGTGGGGTTCGCTCCTTCATCTGACAAATGAAGCCAGTAACACCATTCTCACTCTGGTTTACAAAACACTTGGGCATCTAATTTTCTTTCCATCCTTACGGCAACCTCAAAAGTGAGCAGCAAGTTGAAACCTGCAGATGCACCTGAGCAAATGAGGAAACTAAGAAACAAAGGGGTTCATTGGCCTAGCAAAGATGTGTGCAGGTCACTCTCCTAGCTTTTTCCCAGAGATTTTTTGTGAGAAAAAGGCACAGAAGCTCTTAAGGGAGCTCAGAGAGCCATAGAAGGGGAAGGGGAAGTCTGAGGTAACATGGAAAGCATAGACTCTGGTCAGGGTTGGAGTTCAATTCCAGCTCTAACACTTATTAGGTTGTCCCGTTGAGCAAATGATTTGACATCCATGTGCCTTAGTTTCCTGGGCAGTAAAATGGGGTGGAGTGGGGTGGGGTAGAGTTCAGATGGAAAGAAGTTATGTAAAATGCCAACAATGTCTAACACCACGGTAGATAGGGTCATTATCCAGGCAAAACAGTCTGGGTACAAATCTTAAAACTGCCACTTACAACTAAATAACTAAATAACCTGGGGAGATGATTTTCTATTCTTGTGTCTCTATTTCCAGACCTATGAAATGGGAATAAATTAAAATACCTTATTGGATTAAGGCAGCAAATAAGGCAAGACATATAAAGTGCTTACAAAAGCATTTGATAACTTGGCAAAACCTCAGTAAATGTTTTATTTCATATTTATCACCCATTTTCCAAAAGAGGAAACCTCAGTTTGGCAGAGTCAATAGTTGGTGACAGAATGTCAAGTGAAGAGTCAACTTCCAGATTTATTACATGAACCCCATGCCTTCTCACTCTTCTTTGTATCCCCAAGGGCCCTGGAGTAAGAAACAAGCGCCTGCTGATGAGCTGTGTGACCTACAAAGGTTACTTGACCTGTTAAAGTCTGGTTTCTCTTTATAAAAGTAAGTTTCTACTCTCATAAAAGTGAGTCAAAGAAATGTACATACAACGTTTAGATCACTGCCCAATAGCAACTGCTCCGTAAATGTTAGCTCTGCTTTTATTATTATTATTATTATTATTATTATTATTATTACACTCTTTATTTTGCACTCCTCAGGCAGCCACCAGCTTCTTCATGACCATTTATCAGGGTCACCAGTGACATCCTTACTTTCAACACACACGCTCAGTCCCATCCTATTTGACTGCCAAGGTGGTCATCATTGCAATAGCCTCCCTGTCTCTATGACCAATGGTTCTTCCCCCGCTTCTTTTGTTGCACTATACCCTCTCAGCCATTGTGAATCCCCTCAGTATCTACAGCACATCAAGTTCTCCCACACCTTTGAATCTTTCCACTTATGCTTCTCCCCACTTAGGATTCTTTCTCCCCAGAACATCTTTATCCCACCTACCCCCAGATGATTGCGGTAGATGCTAAAGCCTGATTTCCTCTAAAAAGTCTCCTCTTGAAAAATCACTCTCCCGCTAAGCCTGTCAGGTCCACTCAGGATTCTACTTAGCTCTGCAGTGAAGTACTCCTAACACTGTAGATGCATGGTGGTGTGTCTTCTCCACCTGAGTGTGAACTCGGTGAAAACAAGTCTTATTCTACCTATTCTCGTACCCTAAATACCTGGCACAGATAGACCCTCAGGTAGTTTATCTATTTGCTTAATAAGTTAAGATTTTGTCAATGAACTAACAAAAACATTGGCTTGTTTCTCTTGTCAACATGACAAGAGGCTCACTGTCATTCTTTCCCCACAGACAGGCAGCCCACTTCATACTGGGGTGTCCTGTAACACTTACAGTACAAGAGTCTCATGAGACCAGCTGCTATGTGGCTAGGCGAGACTAAGACTAACTCATTTTTCCCTCTCCCACAAATTCACCTGGCTTAACTCTTCTCTTATTGACAAAGCATCTGACTTTTTAAAAAAATACACCATAAATAAGAAATCATTTGGTTGTGTTCTCTGGCCATCACCAGGCAAATTCCTATTCAGCCTACCTCAAATATCACTTCCCCAATGAAGTGTTGCCAGAATACCCAAGGGTTTATTTCAAATTCTACTCTCTTTAGCAATTTGTATGTATCTTCTGTTACATTTCATGATATTAACTGTTTATATGATTATTTACTGAAACAGACTGTAAAGGTCTCTAGGGAAGGGACATTCATTCAAGTACTGTAGCAAGACCTACTAGGTACCAGACACAGTAGTTCTCAGACGGGACAAGGGAGGCTGTCCTCAAAAGGCTTAATATGTAACTGGGCATAATGTTTAAGAACAGAGGCTCTGGAGTCAGACTGCCTGAGTGCAAATTCAGACCCCAAACTTTAGTATTTGATTAACTTTTCACAAGCTCTTTAACCCAGCTGTGCCTCAGTTTCCTCAGTCATAAAAGAGGGACAATAATAGTAACCATGTCATAGCACAATGTGGAGATAAAATTATTTATCACCAGAAAGTACTTGCTTACAACTATGCCTGGCACATAGCAAGGACGCAACATGTGCTTGACATTCTACTTAACTAGCTGACAGTTGGGGATTCAAACTTCTACCTGCTCTCTGCAATCGCTGATCAGAATCAGTCGACAAGGAGTCATATGTAAACAAATAGAAGATTCTGAATGCTCTACCAGCCCGCCCATCCCTAAAATAGCACTGACTCGCCCCGTTACACAAAGGAAACAGAACCCTGTTTCCCTTTTATGTGATCTCAGCACCTCTAACGCTGTCAACTCCCCCAAGGTGCCACCAGTCGAACCTTGACGGGCCCTCCAACAACTCTGACTATCCCCGCCCCCAAACAAGGGAGCACACGCACAACCCTCCCCCCCAAAACGCGCGTGCCCCCTTTTTGTTCCTACGGACCCTATTCATATACTCTCCCGAGATGGGGTCCCTGTCCCCAGTTTACGAAATTCACAGAGGAAAAAAGCGCTGAGCTCAAACGAAACACTAGTGCTGGAAATGGGGTTCAAGCCGGATCTACTGATGCGAGCAAAAAGCAGCAAACGGTGAGAACCAAAGGCGCGGAGAGCTGGCGAGCTACCGGCTCCGCACTCCAACCTCTCCGCGGCCGGGCGCGCTATCGGCTTCCGCCCGGCAACCCACGGAGCCCGGGCCAAGTCGGAGGCTTTATGCGTCGAAACAAGGCTCCACACTTCAGCGCCCCGCCCCGACCAGGCGGACTCGTGTACCTGAGGTCGCCGTCGCCATCTCGCGCCGCCTCGGCTGCGCCGGGACCCCCGCTTCCATTCCACTCCCTCCTCTGACCCGCCTCTCCCATTCGAATTTCCCGGTGCCCCGCCCCCGCTCGCAGACTCCACCAATCACGGCTACTCGACGCCGGAAGTGCTTTCCTTGGGCTCGCGACGATCCCGCCCTCTGAGCGCTCCCTTGCAGTTCCGCGACGGTTTCCCCAGGCTGAGGGCGCATGCGCGCGGGTCGGCAGCCGGGCGGGGGACGTAAGGGTCCCGTCGCCAGCGGTGGGGAGTCCGTGGGTCGTGGGGCTGTCAGACAGCTGCCAGTGGCCGGCCTTGGGCTTCTTACACTTTTAGGCCTTCGAGTTTCTTTCTTTTTTTTTTTAAAGATTTATTTATTCATTCATACAGAACTGGGGGGTACAGGCCAGAGATGCGGAGGGTGAGAGGCTTCACCAGAGACAGAGCCGCGAGCAGAACAGGCAGATCGAGGAAGTGCACTGCTGAGGGGGGCAGCGGGTGGGTCAGGAGAGGTCTACTGTGCCATGTGGTCACCTCCGGGGCAGGTGGGGATCGAACTCATACGGAAGTGGCTTAAGCTTCTAGTGCAGTGCTTTAACCCGCTGCGCCACCAGGGAGGGCCAAGCCTTCGAGTTACTAGGCATCAATTTTCACCCTCAAATGACTAAGAATTTTGTTATGAGTCAAGCAGATTGTGATCCCAGACACTTAATCCAAAACCTTCCCTGAACAGAATAATGCACTTTGTACTACCTTAGTGGCAGAAGAGCTGATTATAGGAATAAGGAAGAGGTTGCCCGGAAAAGGGATTTTTCTGAATAGCGGGGTCTTCATTTTCTACAGGTTCTTGACCGTCCAGTCTATAGTCAGATCACGCTGTCTGGAGTGGGGACAGCGGTGTTGCACTCACCTCTTGCTGAGACTAGAGCACTCTGAGGTGCAGAGCCCTCAGAGTGTGTCCCTTACATCACATGGCTGATGAGGACACCAGCTGCAACTTCTCTTGCTTTGTCACTCTGCCTATGTGTTGTTATTTGGGTAGTCATGCCATAGAGGTTCATTTGAGGACCCTTTTTCTTTCTCCAAATTACTCCACCAAAATTTTAGTTTCCCCAGGAAATATACCGTTATGTAGATTAGGCAACCTTGTGAGGAGCTCAGTTATCAATGAGGTCGTCATTTAAAGTACCATTTATTTGCTGCTACAGTGCATTCCTTCACCTACCATAGTGCATTTAAGATGATTCAAATTATGAGTACATTTCGATGGGGAGACTCCCATAAAATTTGTGGGAATGGTTTACCACGAAAGTCTGACCTCCCAAGTCTATGATCCTGGTAAAACTTGTTTGTCTCAGACCTCACATCTCCTCCTACTGGACCCTTTGAGCAACTGCAGTTGAACTTCATTCACCCGACACCTGGCAAAGGTTATCAATAAATTTTTGTTCTTGTATGTGTATTTCCTAAATGGGTTGAAGCCTTTCCTGCCCCACCATGGCAAAAACTTCCACAGACTCGGTTGATCCAGGCACCCATTTCACTGGGAAAATCATACAAGGCTTAATGAAAACCTTGCAAACCTCTTGCAGTATTACTAACCATCAAGCAAACTAAAGGTGTGACCCTCAAATTTTTTTTGTGACCCTCAAATTTAAATTGCTAAATTCGCTGGAATTAATGGACCTTAGCCTACCATACTGACTCTGGCTTTGCTGTTTATAGTACCCCTTTAGGGAAACACTAACTCGCTCTACATGAAGTAATTACCAATAGATTGATACTACTGGTATACAACTCTACACTGATCTCTTGTTGTTCCATGCTAGTATGACAAGCTACTGTAAATCTTCAGTGTCTTATGCTAAAATCCATCACCAGCAGGTTCAAGAAAATGCTAGGATCCCAATTCAAAGGATCCAGTTAGTCACTATTTGGCACCTGGACACTGGATATTTGGAAAACATCATCAAAGGAAGACAGCCCCCGAAACCCATTGGAAAGAAATATACCAAGTGCTCCTGGCCACTGAAACTTCTGCAAAACCAGAAATCACTGAGCCTTGGATACACATCTCACAGTTATGGAAGGTTCCATAACTTGACATCTGATCCTTTCCAGCTACTGGAGATGACTGGTCCAGTCAATGAGGAAGAGAAGTAGCTGACACTGATGTAGGTTGCTTCTATCCAAGATGCCAGCTCAAACTTCCAATTTTAATTAAACACAAACCCTTTCTTGTCTTTCTTTTCTTTATTCTGGCATTGGTCTGGAAAGAAAATGCCCTGATTTTATACATATCTCTCAGGCCATCACTAAGGCCTTTTACACTGTTTGATTCGATTCGACATTAAAAGTTTTGATCTATGATTCTAAAGACTGCCTGGCCCTCCCTGTGACCAATCTCTCTTTTATTTCCAATGTCACCAAAAACTACAGTTGATCCCCTTAGAAGTCTCTGAACTATTACTGCCAGAACATTCAATACCTTGTTTTTGCCTTTTTGTGATTACTACTGTATGTGCCCAATTAGACATAAATATCTACATAAATCTTAGTGTATTTACAACACCTTATAGTCATTATCAAGAGAAGATCTGCTCCCAATCACTAAAAAGACCTCACCGGCAGCACCCAGCAAGCAGTAGCTAAGAATGGCTCCATGCTTTAAACTTTGATCACATCTCTCAGTTGAGCTGATAGTCTTCAAAAGGGGAGATTGTATAATATAATTTTTATTTAAAAAATGACTATTTTACCAAGCAAAAAGTGACAAGAGTGGCAGTCCTCATAGAACACCCAGTTCATTTAGTTGCCTCCTGTGTGTCTGGGGGTCCTCTTTACAGAGACGGCCTTTCAATTCCAGGCTGTAATTCCTCTAAGCTGGAGGTGTCTTAGGGCCCTTCCTCCCAAGTCTGTTCCCCAGCACTCCTACTTCAGGCCTCAGACTGCAGCCCAAGCAGGCAAGCCCAGCAGGCTGTGTGCGGGGACCCCTATTCCCAAACACACATCTCAGTTATCCCTAGGTGAATTCACTCAGCAGACACTGAGACCAACTATATTGTTTCAATATATATATCTTGTCTAGAGGCGGTTATTTTTATATAACAGTCAATTCTTAGAATTTAAATTTCTAGGATATGAGACATAGGTAGGTCTTAGGGAGCACCTGTCCCAGATAAGCTCACTTACCAAATGTTCACTGAAAGCTAGATAGGTTAAGAACTTTAGCTGCGGTCATTTAGCTTGAGTGGGGCTAGAACTTGAGGCTCTGAAATCCCTGGGCAGTAGCAGCCTGTCACCTGGCCACCTTGGCTACTTACGTTCCCAACATTACTCACAAGAGTTTTTCCTGACTGGTTTTACCTGACTTCTTTCCCTGAGTTTTCCTGATTCTCGCACTGCCACCTTCCTGGGTTTCACAAGCGCAAAGGTTAGCTTATGGAACAGTTTCGTTGGACACAGCTGAGGGCTCAGTTGGGGGCTGCTGTGAAATGGGATGTAGCTGTGGCTACCACCTGCAATCAGTTGACTTTAAGTAAATGGGATTATCCTCCACACACTGCTTGGCCTCCTCCAGTCAGCTGAAAGGCTTACGAAGAAAAGGATGCTGGGCCCCCTGGTGGCGCAGGAGTTAAAGTCTCAGTGATAACAGGCTGGTCTCAGCATTATCAAGCTATGGCCAGCCATGAGTTCATTCCCAGACAGGGAGCTGACCCACATGGCGCAGCAGACCTCTCCTGTCTGGCCTGCTGCTCCCCTCAGCAGCGTATTTCAGTCAGTCTGACTGTTCTGCCCCCCACTCTGTCTCTGGTGAATCCTTTCTACCCCCTGCACCTCTGGCCTATGTTTTTCTATGCAAAAAAAAAAAAGAATTAATGAAAGTATAAATTTTGATAAGCTGAGGTTTATTGACATAGTCTTTACTTCCACACAGGTATAAAAAATTATAGTGCAGTGATTTTCATCTTATGTTCCCAAATAAGTGCTTTTTTTTTCTTTCTGTGAGGTTTTTTTTCTTTTC